AACAACAGTTGTATCTCAGTAGTTAAAAGAAACGCTCTGACATAGTTTCCGCTATCCTTATTGAAGGGGCCCGGCATAGCCAGGTGGTTAGGACGTTCGACTCGCAATCTGCGGGTCGCGGGTTCGATTCCGCGTCACACCAAACATGCTCGCCCTTTCAGCCGTGGGGGTGTTATAATGTGACTGTCAATCCCACTATTCGTTGCTAAAAAGAGTAGCCTAAGAGATGGCGGTGGGTGGTAATGACTAGCTGCTTTCCCTATAGTCTTACACTGCTAAATTAGGGACGGCTAGCGCAGATAGCACTCGTGTAGCTTTGCGCGAAATTCAAAACAAACAAACAATCCTCATTGAAGAATGTATTTACGACCAACCAGTTAATATGATTGGTAACCAAATTTCTTCTATATTTCATTATAATGTTAATAATTTGTTTCTTCTTAGATATTCACACAAAGATTGTTTTATTCTTTACCTATTTTTTATGTTTATCTTTGTATATGGAACATACAAAGGCAGATGAATCACAACTATAAAGAACACTGCAAAAATTTTGCTAACGATGTTTTCCTTGTTTAGAATTTCTGTGTAGAGTGTGCAATAGATAAGCTCTTCACTCTAATAATATAGCTTCAGTTCTTTCCATTGCATGAACAATATATATATATATATATATCGTGTTATGAATTTATTATAGTCGTCTGAACCGAGAGCTTTCTTTGGTTTACGCTGCAATTTCGTATTATGTAAATTCGGTAATTATCATACTAGAAGAAAGCTTAGAACCCGACTCTGTAACTAGACCCGTGCAATAATAACTAGACCTTATCTCCGGAATCAAGCCGGAGCAATCTGACTCCAAAACGCCATTCTCTCTCCTTTACTTTTGATTTTAAATGGAGTAATGAACGTCCGCGCTACGTTAACTAGAGGAAATTAGAAGGTCGGATTTCTGCATATATACATATTATGTAGTTTTATCATGCTGGTTGAACAGTAAACAGTTCTAGTTGGTTGTGCTTCTCGCATGACGTATTGATGTCGTAACCAGACAAAAAGATAGAAAACAGACTACGACCACGTTATCTATAGCCAATCAGGTCACTTGTTCAAAAATCTTATAACGACGCCACACAAAAGGCTATGATAAATGAGAAGAAAAAAAGCGCTTTATACATGTGAGAACTTATTTCATCGAAATGAAATCGTCATCGTTAGTTATTATTTAAAATACGCGTTTTTAAATAAATAGCTGATAATTTTAGAACATTTCCCATTTCGTTCGCTTTAGATTTAATAATACTATTATTATTGTTCAACATAAAATTCTGACGTAGAAAACGTCTCATAGGTACTTTCCATTAGGCCATAATGCTTATATTTGCAAATTCTGGCGAAGAATAATTATAAAACCATAATCAAATTCATGGCGATACTTTAGTAATAACAGGAGTTTGGTTACTTTGTGAAATAACACAAACTTCAGCAGTTTCTATGCAAGTTTTTTGTTGAGTGAGAATTGTTTTCAGCGTGTTAAAAAAAAGCCAGCAATCGGTATTAATAGCTGACGCAATAGTGAGAATTGTTTTCTATGTGTTATAAAAAAGCCAGCAATAGATATTAATAGCTGACGCAACACTGAAAATTGTTTTGTATGTGTTATAAAAAAGCCAGCAATCGCTATTAATAGCTGACGCAATAGTGAGAATTGTTTTCTATGTGTTATAAAAAGCCAGCAATAGATATTAATAGCTGACGGAACACTGAAAATTGTTTTGTATGTGTTATAAAAAGGCCAGCAATCGCTATTAATAGCTGACGCAAGAGTGGGAATCGTTTTCTATGTGTAATAAAAAAGTGAGCACTCGATATTAATCACCGTAGTATTAATCTTATAGTATTTTCTTTGCAATCTGCTTTTACAGTTCTGTAAAATCCTATAGCATTTTCTTTGCAACCTGCTTTTACAGTTCTGTAAAATCCTATAGCATTTTCTTTGCAACCTGCTTTTACAGTTCTGTAAAATCCTATA